TCCAAAGTGGCCATCCATGTACAACATACTGATGGACTGTGTGTTGGATGCAAACAATACTAGCTGTTAGAGACTGTGGAGCGAGATGCCAACTGCTCTGTTTGCACAATATGAGAAATCTCACTGGGACCCCGCTGGAAAAATCCCATAATGCTACCTGATGTTCATAGAGTCACATGGCAGTGTGCTGGAAGCTGCTGTGGCATCAATAAGGGAATTGCTCAGCCTGTTACCAAGCCCAGCCAGATGTAAAGACTCAACAGTAGTCATGTAATACCATGGCTCAGCCAAATGTGTTGGATTATATTCAAGCCCAGTTACATGGGCAGAGCCTGTGTTTGTTGTTGCAAACCTGGATGAAGACCTGTGGTTGAGGGTATCTGAGGCTCAAGCAGGAAGACCTGTGATGCTATTTGGTAAAAGTAACGTGAATTATCACCAAAAAGGCTCCTGAACCTCTGTCTTCTGCCCCTACATTGCTGTTTTTACGTGTCTTATATGCAAAGGCAAACACTTCATAATATTCCACATATAATGCCTAAAACTCACAAAGGTTAAACTGCTCAGAATATGTGATTCCAACTGTGGTGTGTGTTCCAAAAGGTCAGAAAACATTGACATCGATATATTCTAGATTCAAGATTGAGGGAAGATTCCAGAAGTGGGTACTGAAATAGCTAAAGGCTTCTAAGATGAATGAAGGTCTAGGGCACAGCAGTTCTGCTAGGATACAAAGTTCCCAACAGTGTTTGTGGACTTCAAATGGTGGTGGGCCATCATGGTTTATATCTGAATTTGGACCCTAGTCATGGTCAAGAAATAAGCTAAATAGTTCAGATAAGATTACTTCAGTCACCAGGGTAAGGAGGCTCTCAACCTGCCCTAAGGGGATGAATCACGGACCCTCACCTACACTCCAGAAACGACTTCCTCTGTCACCACAGCACTGTAGCCTTGGGGATGGTGTGCTGAACTATATAGGAGGTAGAATGTCAGCTGAAGGCAGGAAGCAGTGAAATACCTTTCCTGAGTCAGCAGCCAAGCTGTGCTGGGACCCCTCAGAGATGCCGCTGCCTTTGGCTCCACCATGCTCCTGTAAGTACCACCGCACCAAGTTCCTCTAACTGATCTTAAACACTGCTTTACTTTGCAATGCTGGTTTGGACAGCATACTCCTTTTGTGCCCTTGTGGCCCTGTCAGGAGTAAATGGACTTTTGACAATGCCTGGCCCTGACAGATGAAGCCAGATGGAGCTGAGAAATACTTTCTAATCATTGTTCTACAGAGCAAATGCACAGAACTCAATTGGATCAGTAGTTCTTAAAGGGGTGATCTCTTTCCTTGAAGACACGTAGAAATGTCTAGAGACATTATGCATTGTCTTAGTTGACCAAAAGTAGAAAAGAGTAATATCACCCATATCTGGAGGTTGTAAAAAAGGTTGTGTATAAGAACATCAAATGAGTGAGAGAGCAGATCTCCTTCTCAAAAAGCCACAAGTGCAGACATGAATCCGTCTGCCCGGAATGAGGTCGTAAGAGTCCTATGTGATGAGTTTCTAATGAGTATAGAAGGAATGAACAGCATGTTTTGGTTTCTGTGTTTCCTCAATGACTTAAATAAACTCAATCATAATGTCTGTTCTTGGGACATAGTGGACAAGGCTGGGTGATGTAACACACACTTTCTTTTACTATTCTGACCACTAACCAAGCAAAGTACCGTTTAAAAAAAAGGAGATGTGTTAAGATTTGTCAGTTCCCTATTGTTCTTGATAATGTTTACAACAGAAATGAATTGAGAGTAAGCATGAACTGAATTTTATGAAGTGAAAACCAAAATCACTAGTCTCCCTCTACTACTCAGAGTTAGAATCTTTCAGATCATGAATAAAAGGAATGTATATGCACATATTTTATAAATAAATATCTATCATATGTAAAATAGCATTGGAAAAACATGATTTTAGAAAATTTGGCTTGTATGAATTATCTAAAATTAACTTATTGTATATGTAAAATATTGATGGTTATCTTGCATGGTACACAATGTTTTACATTTTTGGTTATATTGAGTTTTGAGTTTAAGG